CCCCACTGTCCCTTAGAGGACACAGTGGCCCAGCAGCAGGTGTGGAAGAGGCTTGCCTGTGCCTAAAGCCACGTCTGGTAGCACAGGGTTAGTATCTCTTGCACTCAACTATAATATCTGCTAAAGAATGGTCAACTCGGACACTTTCAACCACAGCAACATCCTGAAACTCTACCTTTGTCCTCTTGGGTGTCTGCAGGTAGCCCAGCCCGGGAGTGGGAAGGGGAAGATACTCTTGGCAAGCCATCGGAAAGGTCACTGTTCGTTTATCTGGAGCTGTGACTTAACCAGCTTTTTCCTTTCAATTCGTAAGATGGGACACGTAGGGATTACCAGTGCTATACATAGATTGCTCTTAGCTGTCCTGTTCTGCTGGGAACACTTAAGAGCTGTGTCAACTTCGGGGCTGGGGAACCTGCATGCAGCTTGTCCATTGTTGTTCACCCTCTGCGGGGAGTTTCTCTGCCAGCACTTGGTGGGGCATTGGCAGGACCAGAAGAGGACAACTCGGAAGCTGGAAGCACTCAGAAGTTGGGTTTCCTCAGTGGGAAATCCATCAGAAAGGGTAAATGTGTGGGCTGGCTACTGCTTCCCAGGGTGGGAGTCAAAATGCAACATAATTTGTTGGATTTTTATCTGAACACAAGATTTTTTTTTGTGGGCTTTTTTTAAGTGCATGTTTAGCTCATCGGGGATTCGGCAGCGGTGTTGGATTGTGTGCATCTGTGTGTGCACATGGAGATAAGAAGCCAAGGCGTAATCCAGAATTCCTCTGCTTGATAGCCCCTTATCTTTGAGCATGTGGTGCGTGTGTTTTCTCTTGGTGGGTCCCCTCGGAGGCGCTGGCTGTGTAAACACAGTTGCTGTTTTTAATGTTCTGGGAGGGTCCTGCTTTATTGGCTCCTGAAATAGTAGGGGTGAAGCACCCAAAAGTGAGCTCCTGGCCAAGGACGTACAAACAAGCAAACCCTCTATAGCTTGTCAAGGAAATAGCTGGTACCAGCAAACAGGCATGTTTGAAGCTTCTTTAGGATACTGTTGAAATTACAGCCTGCTCCACAGAACTCATTAACGTTTTAATATTGGATACTTCGATTTCTAATTGTCAGGTAGCGTGTCAGTAAGGGTGTGCGTAAGGTAACTTGCAATGCATGTGTAGATGTTGGTATTCTGTTTTAGTATTTAGGTTGCGTTTGGCAACAAACATTCTGTGTAAGCTACTTAAAATCCTTTGAATTCCAGTGGATCAGACCACAAGCAAGAAGTGTTATCCTAGTGAAGCTGCTTAGCACAGGATATGTGACTTGATGGTTTTTTTCATCGAAGGAAGCAGCCGCTGTGCTGCCTATTGTTGAAGTGTGGATTGGCTGCACGAGAAGAGCACTCAGACTAAAAGAAATATATGTGTGTGTGTATAAAAATAAGTGCAGGCTACTCAAAGTGTTAAATTTTGCAGCATACTCCAAGTACTGCACTACCTAATAAAGAAGTTCTGTACATTAGTGGTACTGAGGAGTCTAGCAAGTCTCTCTCGGACTGCAGTGAGGGAGCTGTGTTGCTGTAAAACGTTGGCTTGAGCATACAAACTGTTTCAGGTACTCTAACTGGATTAGTGAGACCTCTTTACGTACACCCTGTTTTGAGATTTGAGGGAGAGTGTCTTGCTTAGCATCTGGGATTCCTCCAAGGTGACAGCTTCACTTGAGGACAAAATATTATTTACAAGCATAGCTAAAAATGAAGTTTCCTGTTGGCAGAGTGGGGATGAGTCATTGTGGTTTTGAGTCAAGGGGCAGGATCTTCCCTTCACTGCAGCAGGTTTTTACTTCCAGATATGCTCTTACAGACCAGCGGGTTCAGGTGTTTGTCACTCTTATCCCCACCTGAGAAAACGAGGTGGTGTTCAGAAGGTGTAATGCTCTGGCTGGGTCTCTGCCATGGTGGTGAACACACCCTCGTTGACCCTGAGGGCAGTTGCACCTACAGCACTGTGGAGTTACTGGTGAGGGTCTAGCCATGGCTCTCCCAATCCGTCCAGTTATTTACACCAGTATCCTTTTACAGAACCACGTGCTTTTTTTGTACCAGTGCCTATTGTTGTTGGCGTTAGCTGCGTTTGCCCTTTGCTCACCACACATGGCGTCTTTGCATCCAGCCAGGTCTACCCCAGGAGGGGAGGAAGACTGGGGACATTACCAACTGCATTCATGCCAGGAGGTTTGAGATTGGTCTCTGCATTTCATGAAGGGTTTTTTTATTGCAGGATAGATGCCAAAGTAGACTGGAGAACCGTGTGTATGTGAATATGTTAAACTTTCCTGTGCAGTGCTCGCTGAAAAGCAAAAAAAAAAAAAAAAAATTTAAAACTGAAGTGCTGGTGAAGGGCATTGAAGCTGTGCTGTGAATGTTCTTCAGTAGCACCCTTAATAGCTGTTGATTTGTAGGAGGCAGTCTCCAGCAATACTGAAGGTGTTAGTCCTGTGGGAGGATTTACCTCTCTTGTGTTTACAGAAATGGATGCTAATTTTTCATCCTCCTACCTGTTTGAGTTGCGGTCTTTTTTTCTTTTAAGAATGCCTGAACAGTGCTGCTGAGAATCTGAAAACAATTTCCTTCTAGGGGAAAAAATAAAGCTTTATATGGGAGTATAAATTATTACAAATTCACTGGAAAAGCGCACTAATTATATTTCATTAAGGAGACTGCAAGCAGACTTTGGCATTCGTTCTCTTTATGTACTTGAAGACACAGAGGAAAACGGTAAATTGTTTCTCTTGAACTTGTGTTGAAGAATGAGGAACCAACCTGAGGAATACTCAGACTCATTTTGCAAAACCTTTAGATAATCGTTGGTGTGTACAACTACAGGAATAACTTTAGAGACCTTATTGCAAGGCTTGCCTGCAGATCAGCAGTTTTAAGCAACGTTTATGTCAATGTATAAGGAAGAATACCAGAACACCATGTTTTCTAAAGTGCTGTTTTTCGTGTTCCTGGTATCGATCGAAGCAAGAGGGGCAAATGCTCCAGTTACTGGTAATCTGCTTGTTGTGGAAATCCATAATTTTATATCGAGTCCTATGCATCAGTGACACTGCCTGTAACAGCGATATACCATGTGGAGTGAAACTGCCACGTCTTGCTGGCATGGTTTTTGGCAGGCAGCTCTGGCAGTAGCTCCAAGTAGCTCAGGAGAGAAGAAATAACTTGCAAGAAGGGGGAGAAGAGGTGAAAGCGCCTGTTTTGTTACTCAAACAATTTGCATTTCTAAACACCGTTCTTAAGAAAAAGCAGCCATATTTTGTTTGTGTCCAGAACTCTGATGTATTTCTTCTGTAGCAACAAAATAGTGTGGTTTGGTTTCTTAACCAGCTCAGGCTGGAGAGGATGAAAGGCAAAGTCTGGGACTAGCAGATCGTCAGGCTGTTTGAAAATCCTGAAGTGCTGGGCTTCAAGACCAGACTTAAATCCCAAGTAGCTTTTTCTGATCTTTAACTTGAATCAACTGGAGTAGTAAATGGCTTTGCTGTGTAAAAAATTTTCTATAGCTTTTAGCAATTAATAAAT